AAAGCTACATTTTTGTTGAGATGGCTTGGCAGGCTTTGCTTGCAAATCTGGCAGGATATGGCCAGCTGAGAGTTAGCAGTAACAAACCGAGGATATGCTGACACAACAGAATGCTTTAATCATCCTTGCAGCAAGCAGGACAAGATCTGCTCCGGCCCTGCCAGCTCTTCCCAGTGTGAGAACCAATGGTGCTGCGTGCTCCTCCTTCCCTCCCCTGCCTCTGGAGACTTCACTTCTCCCTTGCTGTCTCCACTGAACTAAAAAAACCTCGTTGGGTAACAGCATATAACATAATGAGCAATGGATATTCCTCTTGGCCAAGGCTGTTATGAAAATGCTCCCCGTTTCCAGCACAATAAGGAAGCTTAATAATTAAAAAGAAAGCCCTTAACCAGTTTGTGTCTCAATAGAAGGGCTATTTTCACTAGCAGCTAAAGCTCTGCTTTGGCTTTACCCTTTCCTAGAGCAGGGCTGAGAGCCACGTTCAGTTAGCAAAATCCTAATTAGGAACTGGTCCCATCCGAGCTGGGAACTGATCTCAGCCATTCGCAGAAATCTATCGGAGAGAATTCATTTCACATTTAAAAGAAGTCCTGAAGCATTTGACCCCAAAAATCTGAGAGTTACTGCCTTGACTAATGCTTGCCCAGAGCAAGACTTGCCCAGAGAATTCCTGCTACACGATCTAGCCAAGCTACAGACTTGCAATACTTCAATATTCACCACATTAAGCAATAAAGAGTCTGTGAATTGAACAAACCTTTCCTATTTTGGGAGCATATAAATGTATAGGTGCTGTTTGCTGGCTGTGGTACACTAAAACCTTGCAGACATCCAGTCCATGGGGCTCTTACAAAGAAAGAAAGGTGAAATCCTGTAAGACCCTGCCCACACACGTATCTAACACGGTTAAATTGCATCCAAAGCTGTGGAATCATTCCCTCCTTTCCTCCTCTCTTGGGTCAGTCGTTGTCTCCTGGGTGTTTGCTCCAAGCCAGTGAAGATGTGCTGCCTAATCTCCTCTCCATACCCTGCGTATCCAAACGAAAATCCACAAGTTCAGGAGTTGTTTTTCCTACACCCATCGTTTCCAGGGCTGGGCAGTGCTGAGAAGAATGGAAGCACATTTCTTGTATCTGTGCAAATGGATACACCCCTGTGCAGCTGATTTTTAATCACTGGTTTCAGACAAGGCACTTAGAATGGGATGTAGGATGAGACCCAGAATTTTTTCCAGTCCTTGAATGAGAACCTGAAATTTTGGACAGGTGATGACTGAGCTGCTGACCCAGGAGGTTTTTGCTGGGGTTGTTCCCCCTCAGGTTTGTTTTTCCCCTCCTATAAATCTCTAGCTGCAGCTTTGTACTGCTTGTGTTTACAAAGTTGATGTCACATCCATTTAAGGGATATTACCTCTTATTTAAAAGGAAAAAGGTCCCATTAAAACGTACTCAACCTCACTCTAGAGTTTACAGCTGCAAATCAAATATAAAATCCTGATCCCTCAAGGCTTATCTGTACCCACAGAGTCTGGGACCCGGGGTGTGTCAGCTGAGGGCAGGGTCTCAGTCACACAGGGTGGGACAGCAGCTCTTGGGAAGCCCACTTCCCATTATTTCCCATTATTTCCCATTATTTCCCATGATTTCCCATGATTTCCCATGATTTTCCATTATTTCTCATTATTTCCCATTATTTCCCATCATTTCCCATTTCCCCTTTCCCAGTGTTTTGGGGTGCTGAGGGCTGTGTTGGAGAAGGTTCTGCTAGGGAGTGCTGAGGGCTGGTGAGTTCCTGCACCAGGGGGACAAATGGGTTTTCCTCACTGCTGTGATTGAAATGGTCTGGGCTGCCTTTGCCACGACAATGGGGATGCTGGAAATGCTTTTGTCTCCTCTCAATGTTCATTCCAGGCCCTCACAGCAACATTTTCTGGAGACATGGTCGCCAGTGTTGTCTGAAGAAGGTAATTTTTCCTGTTGGTCACCTTTGAGCTCCTACAAGGAATGTTCTGATGCATGGCAGGGTGAGGGGAAGGGGCTGGGTGTGTGCAGGGACATCAAATGACTTTGTTTGGACTCAATTTACCTCCATCTTTTCCTCAGAAAAAGCAGATCAGTGTGGAATACAAGACAGAATATCAGCCCAGAAGTTTCAAAGCCCGTGGGACTCTCCAGGATCCCACATCATCCCTGCTGATGATGCAGTGCACACATGACTGAGGAACAGCACACCACCAGCAAAATCAAGCTCCTCAAAAGCAGGCATGTACCAGCTGACTGCTTCTATTCTTGAGCTCTTAAATGTTTTTAGTAGCACTGAAGATCAAAACCCAAATTGTTCATTTATGGCGTAGCCCATTCTACCCAAAACTCCAGAGAGTCTGAAAGTATTACAACCTACTGATGAACTCCCATTAGCAAGTTTTTGTTTTTAATAAATAAAGTCCCATAGAAACAGAAAGTATTTACAATTAGATCAAAATTCTGAATATAATTCACAAGAGAAAATGCTATTTTTTGAGAAAATGTTTTCATATCCTCATAACAGTCATTTGTTCTAAATTAGTACATAGCAATTGTCCATTAAATGAACATTTTTCCCTTAAGACCTATTCTCGTAGAAAAGTATTTCAGACAAAACTTCTTAACCATGATGTAACCGCTTAGAATCAGAACATGTCAGTGATTAGTAACTCACAATAAAATTAACACTTTGCATGGCTTGAGGAAAACATGGTGAATAATAGCAATATGTGAGAGAAGACAGGGTGTATATTTTATTAGAGCAGCTGATACAGTTGAAAGAAAAGTAGAGACTTTTGGGCATTCAGTGCCTTCATCCTCATGAAGGATTACACCCATTCCTGCAAAACTCTGATTGTGATTGCAGTGCCACCCTCAAAATACAGGGATTTTTGGACTGAGTGGCTCAGACACCGTCACTGCTGAATGGACAGTTTCAGAAATATTGCCCTTTGCAGGAGTGGGATGAAGCTCTTTGGTTAGTGTGCTCTTGGGTTACACAGACCTTTTTGCAGTACTTTAACAAAGTACTGAACTCAATTTCCCTGTCAGAGCACCTCTGCCACTTATTTTCAAATAATTTTGAATATTACTTCTGTAAGGACATGCCCTAGAATTCCTTTTCATTTGAAACTCCTCCTGGATTTCCATTTCGAGGGAAGCCAGTGGGAAATTGGATTGTTTAAGAAATGCAGGCTCAGACTGATGGCTCTTGCTGGGTGTTGCTGTTACAGGAATTCAGTGTTGGAGCTGGGGTCCATCCCAGTGCCAGCTCATCTCTGCTCCATCCTCCACGGGAGGGGTGAGCTCTGCACAATTCTCCCACTGAGGGATGCAAGGCAACACTTCCAATGAACAGTGGGAAACAACTTAAAGCAGAGAGAGTATTTTCCTTTGCACTGTAACAGCCACAGAAGTGTGGGTGTAATTCCTGCTCGGCTGGAGCCACCTGGAAGGTGCAGCAGCCCTGCAGTGCTGAGCATGAGCTGCAATGCTGGGTTTGCTCCAGGGCCACCCTTCCTGAGCTACCTGAAATGACCTCACTGCAGACCTGGCAGGATCAAAGCTGTTCTCTGCAGCCTCAGTGACTTCATCTCAGTGCAATTCCACCTGTGGGCTCTACACCTGCAGGCTGAATGATCCAATTCCCCAAACTTCCTGCTGGGAATCACACTCACTACCGACCTCAGGCCCAGAGGTTACCTGAAATAAGCACTAGGAAACGTTTCCAGCTGTGGAAGGCATGAGCTGAAGGATTAATTTTAATATTTACCTCTCTCAGCTTCTTTATTGCATAATTTGCATTGGCTTAAGAGTTTCAAGGTCTACATCAGGATCAAAGCCAATTTCTTCTCCCTGAAGATCCTACTCACACCTACATCACCTCCTTGTCCACTTAGGAATCACCCTCCCCTCGTCTCAGTTTAAGGCACATTTTTTGCTGCATAAATAAAATATAGACATGGGGAGGAAACCAAGGATATTGGGGACCTCTCCTGATTTTGATATTTAAGTTACAAATAGTGGCTTTTTTCCCCCAGTATTCCCTCTTCTGGGCCACATTCACAAGCTATCAGACGTGGGCACGTGAAATCTCTCACCTCAGTACCAAGAACACCCCAAAATGACACTGTTAGGAAATTTATCTTCTGTTAAATTTGTTCACTCTGCTGTGCCCTGCTCCCTGTGGAACTCTTAGATGACATTAAAGGGCAACACATGCACGAAAACCAGTGACCTCCACAGCAGGAACATCTCCCAGCATCCTTGGATGCACATCTAGAGCTCAAGTGGAATTCAGGGCGCTGGGTTTCCATCCCAGCTTTATCTTTACACAAGAATTAACCCAAACTTTGCTTTGGTTTAGGAGTTAATTTGTCACCTTGCAATTTTCCATGATCTTTTGACTGCTGTTCACTGGCAGTTTATCAAATAATTGGGGAAGAGGTTTGTACCAACCCGTTCCAGCTGAGCTCTGGCTGCTGTGGGCTGGGAATTGGAGAAGCTGCTGCTCCACCTGCCTCAAACCTGCACGAGCAGAGGAATCAAAAGGACTCTGTGCATGTTCCTTCCATAATTAGCTCTTGAAATGGCATCTCATTTTTCACTTTGCCCACAAATGAGTGGTCTGATTTTTCCTTACCCTGAGCCCCCTTTACAGAGCTCTGTCAGTGTCAAATCTTATTATGGAAGGCACGAATATTTTCAGACCTGACACTTCTCCCTTTGGCCTCTGAAACTCTCCTGGGAACTTGCACTAATCTGTGACTGAATTTTACTTTGCTGCTGCCTTGGGAGCACAAAATCAAAATTCAATACTTCAAACATTCCCCTGGAAATGTTCAAGGAGAAAGGTTTTTATTTAGCTGAAAATTTAACTGCATGCTCGAGTGAAGCATCGATCATACTTGGACAAGCAATTTTAAGAAATAACATAGTTAAAAAATTAATTCTGAAAATACTGCCAACAATTTCATGATATAGATACTTTTAATATTAAAAGTAAATTGTAAATGTGTCTTTATAAACAATATGCATAAAATAGATCTACTATACTAAGCTCTCTCTTTTTAAATGCTGTTTCACAGTAATTTCTTAGGTACGCGAAGTTTTTCCCTCCAAGAAATAGTGCAATCTGAAGAACATACATGGTGTCAGGGGGTGAAGAACTGCTCTGCTCATTAATACAAGTCCTTGTAGATCTCTTGTAGCAGGGGGTGGAGGCTCATGTCCGTCTCGGTTTTCTTGATGACCTGCAGGAGCTGCACGTGCTCCGTGACGATCTGCCTCAGGTCCGTCATTTTCTGCAGCAGCTTTGCAAACAGCTGCGAGGACTCGGGGTGGTTCAGCTTCAGCTGCAGCTCCAGGGCTTGCAAAAGGTTGTCCTGGATGTCCTCAATGGGCTTCACGTTCAACAACCCCGGGCGGTCTGCGGGAAAAAGGCTCGTGAGCTGATGGGCATCGTAACACGGCTTTTGTGCATTAATTCCTTACACGTTCCTTTGGAATTACAGAGGCACTGCCTGGCAGCTCTCTGACCATCAGCTGCTCTGTGAGATTTCACTGGCATTCGCTCAAAGAGGTTTTAGGACTAGACTTGTGTAGGAGCTGCTGGTCTGGACGGTCGGGACTGAGAGATCTCTAAAGCCAGGCTTTGGAGCTTGTGCTTTATTGCAAAGGGCCCTGCTTGGAGCTGCCAGCCACAGCTCAGAGCAGGCTGTGAGAGCAGGAGGGCAAGAGGAAAAGGAGTAAAGACAGGGCAGGGGGTGGAGAGGGAAGAGGGGTAAGGGCAGTAAGAGGTGGGAGCGTAAGAGAGGTGAGAGAAGAGAGTAAAGAGAGGTAAGAGAGGTTAGAGAGTAAAGTAAGAGAGGTAAGAGAGGTTAGAGAAATTAGAGAAGTAAGCAAGGTAAGAGAGCGAGGTTCCTGTTACAATACAATCAATCTTCTTCTGTGTTGAATATTCTAATTTTCACTAACCAAGCTAATACAAGATACAAATCCTATAGTATTTACATACAGCCTATAAGAATCACTGCATTACCATTCTGTGTTACACTTTAAACTTTAAAAACCACTCTTTGGACCCTCTTTACCAAGCTAGCAGGGTCTTCTCTGACCCTTGGACCTGTCTGCAGGCAGAGGGAATTGTTCAGTCAAGAGGGGATTACTTTCAGCTGGCCATGCTATTGTTTTCTAGTTGTTCAGTAACTGAGGTTTGGTATCTCAAAAATGCCTTTCATTTCAACCTCGCTTATAGTTTCCATTTTCTCAAAATCTTTTGCCAGGCAATCATATTTATAACGTTTTCCTGTTTCATCTTCCCCAACAGTCTTGGAAACTTTTCCCCTGGGGAAAAAAGGGGTTGTGAGTTTACGAGCGTCACAGCATCAACCCCGTGCATTGATTTCTCACACATTTCCTGGCAAATGAAGCCTTTACAGATGGCATTTCCTGAGAGCTCTTTGACCATCAGGGAGTTTGTAAGGTTTCACTGGGATTTGCTCAGAGGGGTTTTAGAACTAGTTTTATACTCTAGAACTAAGTTTATACTCCACTACAGTGGATTTTCCACAGTAAACTGGAAGTGTGTGTGGGGAAAAAAGAGTGAGATATCTCTATCAGGTAATTCACTTCTGGAAAACCAACTCTGATTAAATAATAATAACAATAACAATAATAATAGTGATTATATATAATAATAATAATAATAATAATAATAATAATAATAATAATAATAATAATATACTCTGATGGATTTGCACATAGCTGCTGCTGCTAAAAATATTTCTGCTAAGGTGGATGTGAACCCATCAAAATTAAAAAAAAAAGAGACATAAACTCAACTTCTACAGTTTACTTGATTGTCCAGCACTGAAAGTTAATGAAATGTTGAATGTCTAAGTTTGTTAAATCCTCAGTGGAAGTGACCACCATGGATTTGTTACTGCTAAAATACTTAATACTGGATAACACATCCCAAATATCATAATACAGCATGAAAAGAATCAATAATTTAAATAAAATTTGCTGTGTAGCTATGAAATTGCTTTCATAGGTTGATCAATAAAAAGCAGTGCCTACTGCAAATCTTAAATCACTTCCCCGAGGCAATAATTCCATTTCAGCAAGGACAGGAGGTTGATCTCTATTAAAAATGTGAAAAATAAGCTGTTATTTCCTGTGATCTTTGTAACCTTTTTGAGCACCGAGTTCTCCTAACTCAGCTCGACTCGTGCTGCACACTGGCAAAAAGGCTGAGAGAAAACAAAGCTCTTTATAAATACATCGTGGCTTTACTTCATGGGGAGAAAAAAAACTGCAGTGTAAACTAAAAGGCAAAGCTGGCAGGAAAACAAATGAGTACACAGCCAGGAAAACGAAGGGCACTGATCAGGAAAGGATACTCAGCTCCCCAAGAGGTGAGGTTTAGGCAGAGTTTTTCAAAGAGAGGAATATAAGTAATTTTGAATGTGAACCTGGATATTTGTTTGTCAGTGTGCTCGTTTGCAAACATTTTTTATTTATCCCATTCAACTGATAACCCTCAGAAAGTCTGGGAGTAAATATAACAAAAGGTTCATTTTTATGAATTTCATTTGGCAATTATTTTTGAACAGTTTTTTAAAGATACCTAAAGAATGTTTGATAAATATTCGATATTTATTTTTCGATTACCTGAATGCATTGCATGGGCTGCAGAATCGAGCTGACATCTTTCTGAGACTTGCCAAATTTCAGCCCTTCAAAGCTGGTGATAACCTGGGGTTGGGATAGCTTTAAATTCTCCTGAATTGCAGCTGAACTGTGAGCTAGCTGGGCATGACTCAGTGTGCAGGGACAGAAAAAATCAGAGAGCACAAAGACGTGGCCTCGATTTCCTCTGAGATTCATCTCTGCTTGCCCCCTGCTCCTTTGGGGTGGGAATTTCTTGGGGTGTGAGTTTTTCAGGAGCGAATCCCAATTCAAATATTGTGCTTCAGAGCCCAGGAGGAAACTCCACTGGGTCTGGAATTTATCAGGAGCCCCCTAAATTGAAGTTCAGTGAGACTGCAGTGGCTAAAATCCTGCCACCCTTTGAAAAAACCCAGTCTGATGATTTTCTAATGACCCAGTGGAACCAGAGGCAGAAAAGATGACTCTGACAAAAGCCTAGGAGATCATCAGATGCTATTTTTAAATAAGCCAATTCAAGTGGAAGGAAAATTCCCATTGAAGGCAAGAGAGATTTTTCATGAATGAGAACTTCAGGATACAGGCAGTGTTTTTTGGGTGTTGACAGTTTGCTATACTTTCTCAGTAAAAACTTCTTACAGAGGAAAATGCTGCTTCTGTTCCAAGAAACTTATCTAAATCAGGAAAAAACGGAAGTAAGAGGCAAAAGCTTAAACATCCAGCTATTATGGTATATTTCAAGCTGTTAAAATGCTCTTAAATATACATGACCCATTTGGTTTTGTACCAAAAGGTGAGTTCTGTGCAGTAAGGAGCTGCAGAGGGATGTGCCTTGCAGGAAAAAGGAAAATGCCAGGAAAGCACCACAGTTCCCTGTTATTTATTACGTTTCTTTATCCACATTTTCTTTATGTTTTCATTCATTGTCCTACAGCTGCTTCAATTGGTTTGAAAACTCTGCAAGAAACTGTTCTAAGTCAGAAAATGTTCACAGTGACTGGGAAAGGCCAATAATCCCAAAGTTTTGAGTGGCAGCAGCAGCACTCTGTGTAAATTGGTATTCTGTACTGTCTCAGGGGAAAATATTTATTTACTGGATGCCTCTTTCATGTCCCTAACAATAACTGCAATCTTTTTTACCTGTTCTTCACACATGAAATTGCCTATCTGTCTTTACATTTCATTATCTTCGAATGAATGTTTTTTGCATTTAAATGCAGATTCTAAAATCTCAGCACAAAAAGCCAGGCAAAGATCAGGCTGAGTGAACACATGTGTTCTTTCTTTGCTCTTTTGCTGAGGCAGATGTGACTCAGCAGTTTGGGGTTTGTCTTCTGAGACTGTCACATGGATTGTTGTCACCAGGACTTTGGTTCAATGCTTCCAGGGATGATCTGCAGTTCTTGCTCTGATTACAAAGCATTTCTTTGTTCTGACAAAGTGCAGGATTTGTGTGGCAGTGAAATAGGAACTACTTCTTGGTAATAGTCAGTGATAAAACTTCAAATGTGACTGATCTGAGGATGCAGCAACAAGATTGAATACAGTGTTTACACCACGAGCAGGGACTTGTGGCTTAAAATTGAGGGGAAAAAAACACACAGAAAACAGAGAAAGTGACTTTAGAAATACCTCTGGATTTAAATACCAGTTTGACTGCATATGGACTGGCAGAGTGTGGGTCTTTACAGGGACACTGCCCCAAACACTGCTGCATCCAAACATTGCTGCATCCAAACATTCCTGCATCCAAACATTCCTGCATCCAAACATTCCTGCATCCAAACATTCCTGCATCCAAACACTGCTGCATCCAAACATTCCTGTATCCAAACATTCCTGCATCCAAACATTCCTGCATCCAAACATTCCTGTATCCAACCACTGCAAAAATTCGAGTCCATCCACGCTACAAAATTCCCTTTTGAGCTTTTTTTTTGAGTGAGTTTGCTCAGTTCATAAATGTGAATTGTGCCAATAAGGCTTGGAGTTTTATCTTTCCTGCCCAAGCAGAGCCATCCAACTTGTTCTCCTGCAGCCTTCTTGTGACAGAGTTTATTTCCAGCTCAGGTGGATGTGATATTTTTAAAGATGCTTCAGTTATTTTTCCTGTACAGCAGAGCACTCACTACTGACTGAGGATGAGTCTCAGTGGCACAGAGGAAGAATATCTCCTAGAAAAAGCTTTCCAAATCTTATTTAACCAGAGTGTGTCTTCTAAAGTCACCACAACTGGAAGGGTGTTGTAACGAGGGTTTGGTGCTGCTAGTAATGGCCAAAAGCATCTCTGCTGTACAAACAAGGTGAAATCCTATGCTCACACACAGCCTCTCTGTCTGATCAGCGTTAAAATCAGAATACAAGACTTTGTTTGCCATTTGCTTTGTTTTACAGCACCAACAGTAGAGCAGCTGTCCAGAAATGAGTTCAGAGAAACATTTGGAATAGCTGAGGCAGAGAGAGGCTGCACTGAGCAGCTCAGAACAGGAAAACCAACTGTGGGAGTGGGAGGATTTTCCATCTGTTGCTATTACAGTTAATTTGTCAGCTCCCTATTGCTGTGATTTGGGCTTTTTGCCTTTTTAGATAACATGCAAAAGCAGCTGTTTGGTTATCAAAAGGCTGAAGAGTTTTATGGGATTTGTGGCAAATTCCAAACACTTCCCAACAAAAAGCTTTCTCCGTGGGATGTTCCAGCTGGAATTATCTTTCCCTTCCCCTTCTCCTCTTCTGTTAGAGCTGCACAAGAGCCAGCAGAATTAGCATAATTTCACTGGGTAATAGCAGATTCACTGGCATTTAGGGCCCCTGGCTGGGATCCTTTTGGGTTTCACCAATGGTTTTCTGTTAGAGATGTTTGTACACAGAATTTTGTGAAGGGATTTAAGCGTTGCAGGATTCCTGCAGCAAGGCAAGTCCTCGAGGTGCTGTGGTTTTGAAATCCTGTTCTCAGTGAAATCATCCTGCTATATTCAAATAGTTCTTACAGAAATGCAGTTTTGCAAGGGTGTATCTCTTAGAGAAACATCTGAGACAGATGAGAAATAGATTCAGTTTTATATCACACAAGGTATTTTAGTCCCACAGAATACATCCAGTTCAATAAATATCATATCTGCCTGTAAATTCCATGATAAAAGCTTTCTAAAAGCTTTCTTTAATTGGCAACAAAGCTTAATTGTTTTCAAAACATAAACTCTTTTTTTCCCAGCAGCTATCACTCCTTTTGGAAAAAGAAAGTAGATCTGAAAAAAGATAGGGAGGTCTTTGTTATCAAGAAATTAAAGGATCTTCCTAGAAATTATTTGGATTTATATGGATTTTTATGGATTTTTATGGATTTATATGTCTCTAGAGATTTGTTTCAGAGTTTTGCTACAGTTACTTGATTCACGTTCATTAGTTCTTTACAGGTCTCTGTTTAAAAATTATTCTGGAAAAAAAAGAGACATGCTGAGAAATCTGGTTCAAGTTTATTATTGTATGTGAATAATTGTCCTGCAATCTAAAATGTGAGATTGGTTACATCATTCCTATTTCCTATGGTGGAAACCAAACACTGCTGAGGACAGGGCTTTGCAGAATACAAGCTCCCTTTTTGCAGCTAGGAGTGAATTTTCAGAGGCCTTTTTCTCATCTGTCACATTTCATTATACTAAACCCCACAAAATATTGGCATGTTTTGAGTAGTGCCCTGATAGACTTGTACCATTTCTCCTCTCCCATCAAAACCAACCAAAAATACACCAGCAAGGTGTTTTCCTTCCAGAATGAATGCAGAAACCTCAGGGATCATGGTGCCTGAGGTTTGCACAAGGAAATTTCGGGGAGGAATTCTTGTTGGAAGCAGAATTAACTGGATAAATTGTATTGTGACCCTTTATTTTTCCTGAATGAAACACGGAGCCAGGAGGAACTGGAGGTGATTTTAAATGCAGTTATACCTAAGAGTGCCCTCCCAGCAGCAGGGTTGCTTTTAGGACAATAGCACGAGGTTGTGTTTGATTGCTGCAATGTAATTTAATAACAAAATCCTCACTGTTGCTCTGCAGAGGAGCCGAATCCAGAGCACTCAGCACATTCCTGCCATGGATATGTGCAGCTCCATTTGGGCCAAAATACACACACATCAGTAGGGCAAGATTTTATTTGTGCAACATCACTGCCTTGGGAGTGCTGGCCAAAGTAACAGAGCTGGATGTGCCTGGGATATCTCTGAAGACTCTGAGTGAAATAAATCCTGGTAGGCATCAGGAATTCACAAAGCAGAGTTGTGACATCACCTCAGGAGCAGAGAACACATGTCTGGCTGCAGAAAAGCTGAAAGTCAGTGGTTTTTCAGTGAAGTGTTGGATGTGGGCAGTCTGATACCTGGGATTTCAGGTTCATGCTTTGCTCAAAGTGTGATGTATGAAGATAAAGCAGAGCAGCTGAGGAAAGCTGAAGAAACACACAATGTCTGGGGGGTTTTTTTTGAGGAGACCATAATTCTCCTGAGAAATGCATTTCCTCTTCCTTTTAAAGGCAAAGAAAACCTTGCACAAATGGAAGAGCAATGAAAAGCACCAGAACCCTGTAAGCCCAATATCACCTATCCTTTGGAATTGTTCTGGAGTCAAAACTATTTGTGGTCAATTAGCAAACCACACAATCTAATTGCAGGTTTAAAAAAAAAACATCTCATGCAGAATTGTAGCTCCTGCTGGTGAAATTCCACCCTTCCTGTTTTCCAAAAGATAGCTCTGATTTGGTTTTCTGCCTAAATGAACTGATGACTCAGCAGCCATTTCCAGCTCCATCACTAATATCGGGGCATTTCCATTTTCAGTTTCTGTCTCAAACCGAACAAAGGGCAAACAACAACAAGAAATTTGGAAGCGACTGAAAAAGCTCTGTGTGAATGCACTCACTCCCAGCCTGCAGTGCTGAGCACTTTGCTAAAGGTAGGAGTTAAAAGCATCAATTCTATCCTCTAAAATCCCACATAAATAAGAGAGCACTTACCTCCACTTAGGATAATGACAGCTATAAATATTGCCAGGTCACTGTCATCTAATTCCAGTGCATTGAACTTCACAGCAAACTCAAACTTGGGCTCCATAAAGTCACAAAAAGGTTTCCTCAGGCTCTTCAGGAACTCCCGTGTCATGAACCCCTGTCCATCGGATATAAGAACCCCGTCCTTGTTCATCAGCGAGGCCAGCAGGGTGTAGATGATCTCGTGGACCCCGTACTTGAGCAGAGTCACTTGGTCGTTGAGGTCGAGGCTGACGAATCCCGGGATGTTCTTGGCGAACTCGGTGATCTCCTGCACGGCCTCCACGGAGCGGAACTGGCAGCGCTGGAAGATGCGGATGGCCACCTCCTTGTTCTCCTCCTGCAGGGGGGACACGTGCTTGCACTTGATCTGGTCCTCCCCCATCATTAAAGAGTTCATGTCATAAATAACGAAGGGCTGCAAACAGAAGGAAATTCCATTTACTCCCAAATGGCCTTGCCAGGAGCTGAGGAGCCCAAAGAGAGCTCAGGAGCAACCCCTCACACATCTCTGAGGAACCTATCAAGGGTTCCCAAATACTTGAATTGTCCTGAGAAATCTATCCAGGGTTCCCAAATAAATTGTCCTAAACCTAATAAGGGTTCACAAATAGTTAAATTGTCCTGAGGAACCTATCAAGGGTTCCCCAAAGAATTAAATTGTCTTGAAGAACCTTACAAGGATTCCCAAATAAATTGTCCTGAGGAACCTATCAAGGGTTCCCAAATAAATTGTCCCAAACCTATCAAGGGTTCCCCAAAGAGTTAAATTGTCTTGAGGAACCTTACAAGGATTCCCAAATAAATCGTCCTGAATCTATCAAGGGTTCCCCAAATACTTAAATTGTCATAAACCTATCAAGGGTTCCCCAAATAGTCACATTGTCCTGAGAAATGTATCAAGGGTTCCCAAATAAATTGTCCTAAACCTATCAAGGGGTCCCAAATAGTTAAATTGTCCTGAGGAACCTATCAAGGGTTCCCCAAAGAGTTAAATTGTCTTGAAGAACCTTACAAGGATTCCCCCAAAAAATTGTCCTGAATCTATCAAGGGTTCCCCAAATACTTAAATTGTCCTAAACCTATCAAGGGTTCCCAAAAAAATTGTCCCAAACCTATCAAGGATTCCCCAAGTAGTTACGTTGTCTTGAAGAACCTTACAAGGATTCCCCCAAAAAATTGTCCTGAATCTATCAAGGGTTCCTCAAATAGTTCAATTGTCCTGAGAAATCTATCAAGGGTTCCCAAATAAATTGTCCTAAACCTATCAAGGTTTCCCCAAATACTTAAATTGTCCCAAACCTATCAAGGGTTCCCCAAATAGTTAAATTGTCCTAAACCTATAAAAACAAATGTCCTCACAATGTTGAAGTGATTTACAGAAAGGCCAAGTAAAGTGGGGGAAGGAACACTTTTAAAGTATGCAGGAGTTTTGCCTTTTCCTCTGTTTGTTTGCTTTTCGTTTTATAAAATGTTCTGCAATTCCAGAATTCAGAGCTTGGAATGTTTACCAAAAGGTTAAAATGATATTACTTTTTCCTGAATTATAACAACTTCTATAAAAGATAATCTAATGAGTGTAAAGGAACCTTCTATTTTCTTTTTCTTTCTTTCTTTTTTTTTTTTTTTCTTTTTTTAGGTAGAAAGAGAATATTCCCATTTTGCTTCCTTTATTTACTTTCATGCTCCTTTCATGTTCTATCCTAGGAAACACTGCAAGTAATATCAACTTTATGGTACTGATTATCTGATAAATGGAACCTTTTGCTGTTAACTCCTTTAAAAATAACAATGTTAGGACGTATTTAAACCCACTCAACTTGTCTTTGGGAAAGAAAAAACAAATACCATGCAACAAACCACGATTCAGAACACAAGAATGAAATAAACTCAACTGGAACAAATCAATTTTGAAAGCAGCTTAGAAAAAGTAGTGCCAGAATACTTGCATTAGGATCTGGAAACAATCTGTTCCAGAATATGCAAAAGAAGTTCCTGGGTTTAAAGAAGTGGTTATGTGAGGATTTCTCAAATTCATTTGAAGAATCTTTCCCTCAGAGGATTAATGAATGAATATTTCATTGTTGCACTGAACAAATCCCACTGATGTGAATATGTTTGTTAACATACTTGATTAATTAATTAAAATACAAGGGATTATAATCCAATAATTGGACGAAAGAAATACTTTTTAAAATTGAAGGTCATTAATGACTGCAGATTCTAATGCCTTATAGGAATGCTCCTTCTCATGGTTTTATATTTACAGCTCCAGACCATGACATTCCAGGAGGGACAGTGTGAGGGATTAAATTATTTTCCCACTTGCACTGAGGATTTCAGTGTGAAACTGAAACAACAAACACACGGCACTGAGAAAAGCCAGGAGGAGAAGGAATTTTTCAGGTAATGACATTTTTGGCAGCAGCAAAACCATTAAATATGCATCTGCACATATGGATATGCACACATGTGGAATAGTGGAGTAACAAGACTGCAGAAGATGCTTTTAAAATGCGTATTTTGGTTCTAGGAGGAAATTTCTTTCTGTTCTTTCTAGTGGGAGCACCAAGTACAAAAAAAATTCATTATTAGTGCATGTCCTCACACTTTAGAAAGCCTGTATTACACCACTGGCCTGTTCATGATAGATGAAAATCAAGAAAGAGTTCAAAATAACCAAATATTTTTAAAATATAAAGATTCAGATGAACCTGAAAGCAGAATCTTCTGTCAAATGAGCTCTGTATATCCCAGGAGATGATGAATAACTCATTCTAGTTTTGATGCACTCACTTGCGTATCCAAATGTTTTAAATTAATTCAGATTATACAGCAACTAAAAAATAACATGAATTTAAACTATGCCTGTAGTAAACACGTAACATAGTAAACATTGATGCTCCAGAGCACCAAATCCATTGATAAAAAGATCAAAATTGTAACCAGCAAATACTGAGTGTCACTTTTGCAGTGGTATTTTCAAAAAAGGCTTGAAAATTGGCAGCAGTGAAAAGCTGGATGCTGTCTACTGGTTTATTGCTGTTTCTCATGTGCCAAAATTTTAAAACTTCCAAGAAAAAAGGAGAATTAATTGATGTAATTATACATTTACTGGGTGAGAATTATAGTGGTGGAACTTCCAGACATGAGCAGGTTGCACATCAGTTTCTGCAGAACAAATAAACTTAGCTAATTCAAACTTTATGTATTTCATGCTGAAAAGTTACTCACATTGTAAGTGCCCACCACATCTAAAACTTTTATGTGATGGGTACACCCAATTTCTGGACAACATTAAGATTCTTATTTTAATTGCCTTTAAGGAAAGGAAGAAATACCTTTTTATGGAGCCTGAAATACCTCTGTGTTCTTTGCTGTCTTTGAAATTATAAAGGAAAATAAAATATAGTCTCTGTTGTAATCCTGACAATAAAATTTCTGCCAATGATTCTAGAAAATACATCAAGCTAAGAATAAGTTTTGGAAAGCTATATTGTTCTTTAGGTATTAAAATACGGTTACCAAAATGGTCAGATATTATTTATCCTCCTCTCACTGATACAGAAGTTTTTTATGCATTGCAAATGAAGTTTGCAGGGCAACCCACAAACCCACTTAAAAGCTCCTTACTTTTCCAAGGTTTTCCTGTCCATTCTCCTCACATTCCCACTGCACCAGCACAGGGCAGCGATGTGACCTGAGCTAACCCAGAGAAAAGCAGGAATTCATCAGAGCATCGTCACAACGAGCAGCACCCCAGGCCAGCCTGTGCCTGGAGTCATTCGCCACTTAGGAAAAGGAATATTCCTCAGGGAGCAGCGATTCCTGACAGCTCGAGAGGCACGTTAAACAGATAGTGTGGGAGATAACCTCTGGGCAAGGAGAAGGAAAACGGGAAGAGAGGAGCAGGGAATACACAAAGGTTAAGGTGACCTTCAAATTCTTGTCCCGGTTTCAAGTATTTTATTAGGTGAACTTGGAGTTTTTTCAAATAATGTTTACTTATTCTATCTAAAAACATTTCCTGTGTTTCNTGAAACGTGTAACTGCCAACAGCAAAGTGAGGTTTTTTTCTTTTTAGGCTGGGTGTTCTGTATTTTGTTTTTTTTATTTTTTTTTTAAGAGCTGCGTCGTCAACTTGGCAAATCATTTACTGGGGGGGGAGGGGGGGGAAAGGAAGAAGCAAAAAGAAGAGGGAACTGACTGATTTGTCTGTGGTCTTTCCTGTCAGGATGGCCCTGGCCTTGGCCTTGGTCAGAGGGAAGGATTTGATGTAGGAGTCGTACAGGTGCTTGGCCAGCGCCCGCAGGTCGGCGGACTCGGGGTTCAGCTGCTCGATGTCGCTGGAGATCTCTGCCAGCAGCTTCTCCTTCTCCGCCTGGGGCATCCTCCCGAACCTGATGGCTGAGGGACATCACAGCAGTTACAAAATGCACATTTCAGTGGCTGTCCTGCCACCCTTCTGCCCCCCAAAGAGCACGTCTGAATTCGGGTCACCACTCGGTGCCTGAAGCTCCTGGTAAAGGGTCAGGCAGGCAAGGAGAGAGGGTTTGTACAGACACTGGGGCAAATCTGCCAGGGAAAGAGGGTTTGTACAGACACTGGGGCAAATCTGCCAGGGAAAGAGGGTTTGTACAGACATTGGGGCAAATCTGCCAAGGAAAGAGGGTTTGTACAGACACTGGGGCAAATCTGCCAGGGAAAGAGGGTTTGTACAGACACTGGGGAAATCTGCCAGGGAAAGAGGGTTTGTACAGGCATTGGGGCAAATCTGCCAGGGAAAGAGGGTTTGTACAGACACTGGGGCAAATCTGCTGCAGGGATCTAAAGAAATGGAAACAGAGAAAACCACCTCTGAGCCATTATAACACCTTGCTTAGAAAGGCAAACCTGCTGGTGAAACCCCCTGGTTCTACATCTAACCAAAATCAAATGCAAAGAATATTTCAGATATTCAAGTTCTGTTGGCCCAGGGTAGGAACCACCACTGAGCCTTGTATTGTTTTGAACAAATCACCACATAGACCTGAGATTCTTCATTTGTTTAGAAACAAAACCCTCCCATGACTTGCAGGAACAAATTCCTAAATAGCTCAGCAGAATTTAACGTAGCAAGTGCTAGAGAGTGTTAACATGAGAATTAAGGAATTGGGGAAGGTCATACAGGGAATAAAAAGCTGGAAAATGCTGAGTTGTTTGTGGTACCTCTATGTATGTGCATTATTGAAAAACCAGGAAATGGTTCTACCTCATCATAGGAGCTCCAAATTGCTCAAATCTCCTCTGCACCTCCTACTTACTTCTTATCCAAGACTATTTATTCATATGGGGACTGACTGGAGAATGTTTCCAATGAGCCATCAAAATCAAGACTGATTTATCACATGATATTTCAGTAAACAGAATTTATTTTGTTTTATGAAAACAAAACAGAACAAAAGAGCATCCAAACAAAAAAACGGAAGGAAGAAATCAAGGTTTTTGCATTTTGGCCCTAGGGGGAAATAGAAATATTATGAATATTTTTTCAGTGATTAGTGTGTTTCTTGGATAAAGGAAAAGTGCTGCTAAGATCATATAGAGATGATTTTACTGGGGATGTTTATTTTGGAAACAAGCAGCCACTTTTCTATGAGTTTGCTGCAATGTGTTGATAGGCAAACAGGACATTTTTTCCCAAGAATAAATAATTATGTCAGAACACATTCCCCCTCTCCATTTTTCCTGTATTATATTTATTGATCAGTTGTCTTATTTCATGGCTGTAGAAACAAAGTTGTTTATTTTTATGACTCAACTCCTCTTTCAGCAACCTCAGGCTGTGAGTGACACGTGCTGGATAATTCTGAATTATTTGTGTGTCCTTTATATCAAATTATCCTGAACACCAGCAGGAAATGATTCTGTTGTGGGCCTGATCCTGGGAGCTGAGGTTTGCAAAAGCAGGTTCATAACCTGGAACCCACTGGCAGAAGACTCCATTCCATCAAAAGAAAAGGTGATCAGGACTCAAATGTACTTTAAATATAACATTTCATTATAAAGTATATTTTAAAGATAACGATTTATTAACTACAAAGAGGGCTGTGGATCAAGCATTCCTACCTTACAATTTCAGAGACACAGGATTTATTTTTTCATAGAATAAATTATTTTGAATATATTTCGAATATATTTTACTGATGAGGTATCAGATGCAGCAGATTCTGTTCAATGTTTATTAGCATTGCAGGCAAAATTTGGGGCAAAATCAATTTCGTGGGACTAGCCTGAGTCTCCTTTTGTAAAAATCCTTGTCACTGTCATTTTCAGGGGGCTGAGACAAAAATCAGAGAGAGGTCAGGCAGTGAGAGGTTTATGGGAGGAATTGGGAAAGGGGGATTTTGGATGAGAGGAGGAGGGGCTGATGGTGATGCCACTTCCAAAGGTTAGGCTGGGAAAAGGAGAGCCTGGAGAGGGATCAGGAGGGCTGGGAAGGGCAGGGAGAAGCCTGGGAGAGCCCTGCAGAGCTGAGAGGGCTCAGTGGCAGCTGCTGTCCCAGAAATGCCAGGCTCTGCTGGGCTGGGCAGGAGCTGCAACCTGGGGCTCTCTCTGCTTCCTCCTTGCCCCTGCACTGACAGGATTCTGCAAATGTCAGGAGCAGAGGGCCAGGGGTGAGCACAGCCAGCCCCCCGGGCTGCACTCCATCCTTTGGCTTTCTGTGCAAGAACTGCAACATTGACACCCAGCTCAGCTTTCACTGCTTGGAGAAGGTAAATGTGACAAAGATGATAGCTGATAGACTGTTCTGTAGGCACTGCTCCTCTATTGTCTGGGTTATTTCTGGCCATAAAGGAGACCCCCAATAGCCCATCAATACAGTTTGTTACATTAGAAACCACACGGTAAAGCCAGGCTGGATACCTGTCTGGTTTTGGGGGAGATGTGCCCAGATTGAGCAATTCCCTGCTCCCAGAAGTGATGATGAACACACTGCTGTGTGTTCTTTTATTCCCTTTGCAGTAGCTGCATTAATAGCAGCAGTACTTTCAGCAGAAGAGAACAAAATAAATGACATTTTAAAACTAAAACTTCTGCTCAGTGGCACTTCAGAACACAATCTGCACAGCTCAGGGTTAAGCCCAGAGCAGCACTGTGGCTAGAGAAGGAAAGGAAAACAATATTCCAAGCATGAGAACACCACTGTCTTCTTTAACCTTTAGCCAAGTGGTATGGAGCATTTCTACGTGAAAAAATGTGGCTGTAGCTGCTGAGTGTCTCCTTGCAGCCCCCATTTTGTCCTGATCATTTTGCAATAATGCATCCACACAAGGACAGGCACAGACTGGACCCCTCAGGCACAAATAACCCACATTCTGCTTCAAAGCTTTTCAAATCCTCATAATTTCCCTCCCCGAGTGGCTGAAGTGTAATCTGGAGATGTAACATCAAAATCTGTCCCAGGGCCATTGGAGAAACCCCCTGACTCCACCTCCAATCCATATAAAATGCAAAGAAAATTTAAGATATTAAAGTTCTGTTGGGACTTTAATTCCAAGGGTAGGAACCTGGGTAGGAACACCTCCAGTGTTGCATTTCTTTGTGCTTCTGGGTCCTCAAAGGTGAAATTCAGCTCTTTTTAAAAAATCTGTTAATAAACCATGAAGGAATGAGGGTGTTTTGTGCAAGGCAATGTAACCAGAGTGGGCAAAATAAAAAAGGCAAGTTGTAGAAGGCAAAGTTTGAATAGAAACTCAGAGTCTTTGTTGGGAGAACTCCTGGTTGGAGCAGAGGAAAATGTTCCTTGGAGCCCTGGGGCAAATGGCTTGGCCCTTTTCCTGCCTCTCCCAACTCCTAGAACCTCATTGGTGCCAAAGCTTCTGCCTGGGCAGTGGCTGAAGAGGGAAAAACGCAGGTGAAATGTGAATTTTAAAGCTGTTCTAGATGCTGTGAGCCAGAGAGAATGGTCTGGGCCATCCCTTCCTGATGGAACTGCCCATGGATCCCATGGACACAACTGGGAGCTGTGCTGCCAGGCCAAGGGAGAATTTGGCATGCACCTTGAAAATAAGAATAAAAACCCCTCCTGAATTACTATAAAAATACCCACAGTAGCATTTCAAAATTAGATTATTTTTAAATGTTACTGTTGCATCCCAGGAATTTGAAAACCGTATTTTCTATTAGCAAAACATTTCCCAGACCAATTTACATTCAGTGCATGTATTAAAACTTTGCAAACCACAGCCCAGCTTTCCTCTTGGGGACAGCACACTCATTTTTTATATTGAAAATAATGAAAGTTCTAAAAAAACCACAGAGAAATTATTTTCCCAGTCATGTTTGCAATTCTTTACCCTTAGAATTACATAAGTCTCTATGTTATGACATTTAATTCCTGTTTTTACTCAGCTTTGCCAAGGCAAGGCAACAAAGAATCTTCATTATGTCCTTCTGCCCAAATATTCATAAGTATTTCCACATGAATTGCTCTGTTAATTTTAAATTTAAGAGAGATTTTCTTCTAGAGCAGTATTGTGATATTCTTCATGCCATTACTTATGGTAAAGAAGTCAGATGTGGGTGTCCTAGGAAGGAGGACAGGGATTTTTAAAACTGTGCAATTCAAACTGTACAAGTCATGAAAATGAATATTTTCATTTCAAATATGTTGTGTTTCAGTATGAGAAGTGCTAACTCAGTGATGCCAACAGCCCTTGGTGAGTGACCTTAAATTCAAGTTGCTGTTATTCACAAAGCCTCAGATCCTCTCACCCAACTTTCATAATTAAGAATTTTGGCTCCCAGGAAAGGCATCTTGAGCTCCAGCAGGCAAAAGGGTCCAGTTAGAAAATAAGACAGTGAAGTGAAAAACAGCCATTTCACAAGGAATATATTCAGGAAGAAATAGCAATTACACAAGGAATAAATTCAGGAGGAGCTACCAATGAGCAGCAATGATGGAGAGTAAAACCAACTCATGTTCCATTATGTATTAAAGCAAGAAAAGCAAACCTCCACCTATCTGATTGTGATGTTAAAGCAATCTCAGATCACAGAGAGGTTCCTAAACTCAGGGAATTTCTCTGACATGTATTTCTAAACTGAGGATGTGGATATTCCAGCAGCACATCCAGCAGCTGTGCTGATGGTCCATGCTATTTTTCACATGAACCACTGCTGGTGGAAGCTCCAGGGGCACTCACCATTGTGTGACATTCCAACAGCCAGGCATTTCTGAAACCTGCAGTACTGACATTTATTCCTGCTTTTCTTATGGATCCGGCAGTTCAGATCACACCTGTCGTAAATCAGCTTTAACCTGATTGTTCTTCGAAAAAAGCCCTGCAGAAAACAGAGAAAAAAAAAAACCATGGGAAAGGATGCAGGAAACTGCCAGTGCCATCGTGGCCCTTCCCCAGCCACCCTGAGCCCCTGCCAGCCCAATTTCCAAGGGAAGCCAAGCTCCTGCTGCCATCCCCTGTGCTCCTGCTGTGCCCCACTCACTTGGACAGAGGGACAAAATTCTCAAAAATGTAAAGGGGTTTAAAGCACATCAGGGATGTAATCTAAGAGCACAACTCCAAAGGAAGCAAAGCCCCGTTTGTCCCACTGCTCATGGGACAATTGTTAGGAACCTAATACGACATTTTCAAAATTTAAAGTTCACTCCCAATGTAGAAAATTTGTTGTAAACTACAACAAACCAAAAATTCTGCCAACAGCAGTTCAGTTTCTAGTAAATGAAAATGGTTCTGGGTTATTTCTCTTTCTACAGTTTAAAGATGCTTTTATGGATCAGTCATAATTGATAAATAAAGTTTATCCAGAGTTATCACCCTTTCTTCCTTGTAAAATTATTTTTTCCTTATGGGGAATAATACTAAAAGCACAATGCCAACTTTTATTTTTATAATCAACTGTAATTTAAGTAATGTACTTTGTACTTATTGCTTTATGTGTTCCTAATTCACGGCTAAGAATTTTATTTAAGCTCTGGATTGGTTCTTTCCTTTTATTTATTTCCTCAAGATACTGAAAATGGAGAAGATGGGATTTTCACATTAAACTCTAATGTTTCTCTTTGAACTCAAAGAATCATTAATAATTTAATTCTCTGACATTTCTTCTCTCATTCTTGAGGACTGAGGTTTTTACACCATTCATTTGTCCTTTACAGTTTATAAACACTAAATATCACTGATATAAAAAAAATCAGTGGGGTTTTAAAGCAGAAAGCACCTCGAGACCATCAGACTTCTCTGTAGCCACCTAAAATGCATAAAATGGGTAAAGAAACTCGAATTAATCAGAATAACAGAGCCTGAATTTTAATTGCTCAAAGTTTTGGAGTGGGGCACGAGTTTGCCCTTGCTGCGTTCTAGGAATTCAGATTTTTGGCACATGACATCTGAGACAGCAGGAATGAAATATGCTTGCACGATTGAAAGATGGGAAAAAAAGCACAAAAAATTGAATAGATCAATACCATCAATAAGAAAAAAGGAAGCTAGGTTTTTAAAAGAAAAAATATATTTTTTTATAACTCCTGCTTAGTAAGCCATAAATTGCACGCGGGAAAATTGACGTAAACACCTAAAACCGCATTATTTATTTTTTTTTAAAGCAGCAAGGTGTGATTTTCCCAGGTGATGATTTAGGTGCAGAGGAGGTGAGGTTGGTGGCTCACTGTAGGAATCTCTGCCTTGGGATGGTCGGGACAAACTCAGGCGCTCTCTGTATTCTGGTGTTGAAGTTTGCAGTTTATTTCATAGGGCGTGGGACTACACTGCTGGGAACTGCAGCCACAGCTCAGAGCACGATGGAAAAAGAGAGATAGAGTGAAAGTAAGAGGAAAGAGTGTAAGAAAGTAAGAACGAAAAAAGTAAGAACATAAGAAAGAGATTTTCCCCTTTACAATACATTAAATCTTCTTCTATGTTGAATATTCTAATTTCCACTAACCAATCTAATACAAGATACAAATTCCCTAACATTTACATGCAACCTATAGGAATCACTATATTACCATGTTTTACTGCTTTTCTCGTCTCTAAATTTTATCTGGGACCTTCCTGCCATGCCTAGGGAGGATGTCTGTTTGCTTCTTGGTATTGGCAGCATCTACCATTATCTAAACCAAGGCGCCTCCAGGCATTCAGTTGCTTTCACAGTCGAGAATTGCTCTCATTTCTATTTCGGTTACATTTTCCATATTCTCAAAGTCTTTTGCTAGGCACTCGTATGGATGAGGTTTCCCTCAGCCAGCCTTCCCCGCCGCTCACCTTGCAGCCCTCGCAGGCGTGCACGCCGTAGTGGAAGCCCGAGGCTTTGTCCCCGCACACGCGGCACTCGATGGCCATCAGCGAGCTGGACGCCTCCTCGGGAGCTTTGCTGTACAGCTGCACTTTCTCCGAGAAATAGGGCGGGGAGGGAGGCTCCATCTTGATGGCACCTGGGCACAGAGAGGAGCGAGGTGACAAATCCTGCTGAACTCGTGGCGGGAGCGGGGGGAACAAGCACAGCATCGCAGGGATGCTGCGATGCTCCACAGCCAAGGCAAAGGATGCAGAAGGAGCCAGAGCTGCATTTAGGGCTGGAAAAGCTGGAAGGGGCAGACTCTGATGGAGAAATTACAGATTTTTTTATTACAGATCCAGCTTTCAGGATGGTTTAAAGATGGATATTAAAAGTTATTGCATGGAGAACTCAGGCTCTACTCAGTGTCCATCTGGTTTACTACTGTAAGGTGTTGAGAACTCCTACAGGGAGATGGGCAGGAGTGCCTAATCTACTTTAAAAAACATTAAAGTGTCTAATAGAGCTATATATTGAATAATATATTACTCAATCATATATATATATATATAGGATAAAATAATATCAATGTTTCCAGAAATTTAGCTCTCTCCAGGGGAGAACTGTTGAACTTAGAGATAAATTTGCTTTTCTGAAAGTTTCTAATTAAGAGAGTAATTTCTAATATTGAATGATCTCAAACAAGTAAATATGATGTCTTTAAATCAATCACCACTGGTCATAGAAGACATTTGAAAGTTACATGACATCAGGAGTGATGTAACAGAATATTAAAGAAGGTGAATATTTTTATTTTTCCAGATGGGCTATACTATACAAACTAGAAAGATTTATTCCTATATAAACTGGGAAGAAATTATCTAAGTAAAGATAAGGAGGATTTATAACATCTGAACTCTGCTGCACTCCTTAAAACTAGTTGGCATTAAATGTTATGAATATTTCTGATTAAACAAAAGAAAAATAAATGACTAGCTGGAAAAATGTCCATTCATTTATTACAGTAGTAGTGCAGAGATACACAGCACCTGCTTCACTGTATCACCAAAATTAAATATCACCATTTCCCCAGCAAGAATTCCTTGAAAGAGTTCGTGTACAGATCACTACAAATAAAAGTGAGGTCAGATGTGAGCAAAAGTGGATCCTCAAAAGAGTTCCAGGCACAGCAACCTCACATTCCTACTCTGAGCAGGAATGCAGTAACAATTTATTTAGGAATAGGTCACTTCCTTTCTTGAAAGGAGGATTTAGTGGTTTTTTGTCAGTGTAAATTGTGCAAGAGCAGCACGTTTCACAGAAAGTAAATAACCCAGGAGCTGGGATAGAGTTGTAACAATGCTGTGGCTCAGCTGTAGCCAATATTTCTACTCCATCCATTTCTGAGGCTGTTTGGAATTTAAAAGCTGCACATATGAATAATTCACATTCACATAATTCTGTATGCTGGGCATTCTACAACACTCAGGGTGTTTATTCTGCATTGTGTGCACTGAGCTTCGAAGGAAAAGCTGCACACAAGGTGCAGGAATAGGAGACAACAGAGGTAATAACATGGAATTTTGGGTACTTATGATATATTTCCTAAACTCCAGTTATCCTGCTCTGGCAGGGTGAAGGTCTGCAATGGATATTCTCTCTTTTCTATGTGCCCTGCAAGAGCATCTCTGCTGACACAGGAGATCTGAATCCTAAATCCAGCACACGTTCCAGGGAATGAAGGAAACATGGGCATGAAGGAAACACTTCAAAAAAGGCAAAGCTTACTTTGGCAATCCTGGAGCTTGATATCATATTTATAATCCAGGCCTGACTGGTCAGCTCTGGCTAGAGGAAGATCTTCATAGTGTGGGGAGGAAATGCTCGAGAAGTCAACGGTGGTGAAGGGCTTGATGTCAAAGGAATGTGTGTGATCATCCATGGCTGACAGGTCCACGGGGCTGATTCCAAAATTCATGGGCCAGAACGGCATTTCTGTGTCAACCATTGTAATCCCTGCAAACACCAACATGAAAATGACATTTGACATTTCAGAAGAACATTTTAAAAGACATTTTATTGATCTCCAATACATTCAGCCCCGAGCTGAGGTCCAAGTGTCCTTAGGGGCTTGAGATGAAAACTCTAACTGCATCTCTCCATAGAATGCATAGCAATAAAATTAGAAGTCTTCCACAAATGATTCTCATTTTTGCAAATTCTAAGCATCATTCTTCCAAATTCTAAGCGTGACTCTTCCCAAGTGCTGGAAAATCTCAAGGATTTTTATATTAAGAAAAAACCCAAAGTAGCTGGTATTAAACAGTGGTGGTTTTCCTCCAAATAACCAGAAATATTTGAAAACTGTGCTCATTTGAGTTTGCCAAAAGTTTAATCCCAGTCTTGAACCCAAGGATCAAGGAAATGTAAGTTACGACTTTTCAAATTCCAGATATATTTATGCAAACTTTGAAAGCAGTAAACCAGTAAGAAACTTCTGCAAATTGAGTGAATTTAGATTGAGATATGTTTTTCCAAGTCCTCTTCTGACAGATAGCTGAACCAAAACCCTTGGTTTAGACAGATTTCAACTATGAAAAGGTTTGTGAGTTACAGCAAGTGCAAAGGTTATTTTATAACCAGTGTCTGTGTTTAATTTTCCACAATTTATAAAAAGAACATTCTACTCTAAAAATAGAAGAGATGTTTCAGAACTAAAATAGCTTGGTCACTTTGGCTGTTTAATTTGGACTTTAGACCCAATCAAGTGAGTGGCCTTTAACCTCTAGATAGCAGAAACTTTGATTTGATCTGCTTAGAATCAGAGCTACTCTGTCACACAGCCAAAAGGGCTGTTGCAAAATGGAGATGTTGGAACAGAGAATTTGGAGCTCAGTCTGTTTTTGGCAGGTAAGTGAAGCTGGGACTGCCCTCCCCATCAGCTCTGCTGAAATGCCAGTGCCTGGAAATGGCTGCACTTCTCTTTGCCTTCCCTCAGGAATGTCACCAGCATTCTTCCCACTTGTAGGACTCCCAGGACAACCCTTCAGTTCTTCTGCCTTGACACTGACATCAAAGGCTGCAAGGAATCTTTTTAATTCTTAAATTTGAGAGGAGAGATTCTCACTGCAGTGGGAACAAAGAGGTGCTGCTGGATCCCACTGGATGGGATACTAAGGATGTTCTCCTTAATGGAAATCAGGAAACAACAGGATTCCTAATTGCCACAAATGGCAAATCCCTGGGGAAAATACATGAGAGCTTGTTAGAGAACCTTGGTGTTGTTGTCCTCTCCCCAGTGATCAAGTCTCAAGTCCAGGGCTCAAATCATGAGCTCTGCCCGGACTTCCCAGGGAATGGTGACATTCCTGAGCTCCAGGAGCGTTTGGACACCACTGCCAGGGGTGCCCAGGGTGGGATTTTGGGGTGGCTGGGCAAGTCCAATCAGAGGCTGGACTGCATGATCCTTGGGGGTCCCTTCCAACTGAGGAGATTCTCAGATTCTGTGACGTTTCCTCTGATCACAAAGTGCAAATCCCTGGCCATCAACGCTGGGAAATGTCTTCCCAAAACAGATTTCCCAAGGAAATAATAAACCAGAGCAGACTCCTTAAGAGCCCACCTCTTGTAATGATCAGACACATCTTTAAAAAAATACAGAACTCAAGAGACATTTTAAATTGGTTTACTTTCCTCTAAGCAAGTGACATCAAGGGTTATTGCTTCCTGCTGGAGCTCTGCCTCAAGGGTGAAGGATGGCTCCAGGCACGTTCCCAGTTAGAGCCCAGGATTCCCAGGGATCCCCAGGTTGCTGTGTGGATAAGGAATAACTGCAGGAAATCAAAAGGCAGGAGGTCTCACCCCCAGAGCTGCCCTTGCAGACCCCTCCCTGCTCTGAGGCAGCACCTGGGGAGGTTCAGCACCTGCTGAAAGGTCAGGACGAGCTGGGGACACTGAGGAGACACGAACTCCATCACTGATCTCACTGAAAATATTATCACTGAACATTATCATGTTATTATCACTGAAAATATTCCTGCACTCCCCATCAAACTCTGAAAAATATTCTCACAATCTCAGGACCTCACCACTTTGTCTTTTCAAGTGAAAAAGCTGCACTTTGCAAAGCCCTGTGAGCTGAACAGTGAGCTGGAGCTGAGCTGGATTTCCCTCCACTCAGTCCCTGGCTGGGATGTTGTGCAGAAGTCGATGATGTATGACATGAGTAATTCTGTGAAACTCCTGCACCATGGCAAGCCAGTGTGCATGAGCTGCCCCGTGCACAGATATCTCACAGCTTAGAAAAACTCAGATAAGCAGGTGAGTCCAGAGGTCTGGCTTGGCAAGCACAAGCTCCAAAACCTAAGAGCTTGTAGTAATTCCTTATCAGAAATCTCGTCTCCCAGTCAGCACAGCCAAATCTTTTCAGCAAAGTCTACCAAAAAATGCCAGAGTGGTTTCGTGGTAAAAGCATTTCTAACCTAGAACCGTGATGGTTTAGATTGTTATTATATTTTAGAAGAAAAAAACTAAAATTAAATCATTAACGAGTAACTTCTTGTTTTAAGCATCACTGAATATAAGGAGTTTGGTTTCATGCATGCTGTTTTTTCCCAACTGATTGTTCTTTTCTCTATGTCTGTCCAAATCACACACATGCTCTGTATGCTGAGAACAGAGGAAATACAAATGCCAAGATCACCCCGAAGAGAAAACCAGGGAATTGTGGCTGCACCCATCAGCTACTGAGTAATTCTGCTCTATCCCACTTCTATTTCTGCTGTAAGGTAATAAAATCTGGAGCCAGCAGCCATTTACAAATCTTTAGTGGAAAGCCTATAAACTCCACCCCTTCCAGAGGTTAACATCCCATGACTCTCAAAATCCCAGAGTAATATTGTTGATAAGCACTTCTGAATGGTGAGAATTCCCAGGTTTGCTCACGTTTTGGGTATAAAACACAAAGAATCTTGCTACAGTTTTAAAGTTCCAATCTTCACATATGATTTAAGCAAATTAAGAGTATCTTGTTCAATTTAACAAAATTTTCTGTTACAATAGAAACAGCGAATTTCAATTTTCAGATGAATTTATATTAGAGATACTAAAATGAAGGAAACATTTTCCATGCTATTTTTATTCTTGCAACTTGAAAACCAAAATGTGAAGACTGTTCCTATCTTTAATGGTGATTTCACAAATACTTCTATTTTGCATGTAGATTTACTTGATTTTTGCCCTGTACTTTGTCTTTTTCCCTCCCCAGGAAAGGGGAATGACACTTCCCTCTGGGGAAAAAAAAATCAACTAATTGTAGTCTTCTTTAAAAGAACCAAAAATCAACAGCCAAGATTTAAAAAATCCAATGGACAAGTCCAATGAGCAGACTAGAGGATGCTTTTATAACCCCCAGCTGCTTGTGTGACATCCAGCTAATAGATCTGTAAGTATTTACCTGATTTAGAAAACTTTCATTGCAAAAATCCTTCTCAGCCAGCAAGAGGCTGTGCAGAACAGCAGCAGAGATGTTATTCAGGAAGTCAGATGGAGGAGCTTGGACATTTAATCCTCCAAAAGAGCAGGAGTGAAAGAGATAATGGTGCTGAGATAATATTTAGTTCTGATATGGAGCTTTCCAAGTGCCTTCGCTGTGTTTAATCTCCTGTGGAACTGCTCAAGGTTATGTGCAAGAAAGCAAAGGCACTGAACTCACCTGGCACAGGCAGCCTTGCTTATTCTGCTGCTGATAGGCAGAGATCTCACCTCATCAATCACCTCATCCCCCAATTGGGCTCTCTCCAATTCCTCAGACAGTTACTCCCTGCATTTCTCCTACCAGGAAAACATCAAATCTAACAGAGGAGATTGCCATGGCATGAAAAACATCCTGGATCACGAGCTGCTCTTTACCATAAACACTACCTGTGCTCAGGTAACCTGAAGGGCCTGTTGTGCTGCATTCTAGACACGCTCTTTCCAGACAAAACTACCAAAATATGACCCTACAGGTATTTCATGAAGCAACCAGGACATCCCAACTGACAGGGGTTACAGAAAATAAGAAGACAAAAATAAATAGGCAAAGCCTCTCAGCTCTGAAACATTATTAAAATCAAGGAAGGTGTAATAACATGGCACGGGCAGGTATAAATATGGACAAATTGATACGTGAACTAAATAATGCTGTGGGTTTTTCTTTCCTCTCAGGTACGAATGTGTCAGAGTTTGTCAAGTAAACTCCTATGCAAGTCCTGAAGAACTTAATGGGACTTTTGCCAATTAATTTAATTAAGGCAGCTCAGACCCTCTGTGAAATAATGCCCCACATAAGTTGGTTAGGGTCACACAATCATTCTCAGCGTTTAGGATAAACTTAGAGATGGTGAAGGAGCTTGATACCCCATAGATTCGATTTATTTATCTGTTTGGAAGAACAACAACATCTTTTGTGTGTGCCTTGCAAAACCACGTCTCTCCTCAGCGATGGCAGCACGGCCGCTGGGCTCCAGACCTGCACTGATGGTTTTTTTGAGCAGAGGGCTGCAGCAGGGCCATGACAAGGAGCAGACAGTCCCCTGCTACCCCCTTGCAGTCCCCTCCCAATAACTCGGCTCTCCCATTGCCTCTGACACAGAAATTCTGTGTGGCAATGCTCGAGCAGCTCAAGGCAACATTTTATCAGTGCTGCTCCCAGGTCCCACATGTGAGGGATTATTGAACTTCAGGTTATTGAGAGAAAATCACATTTTACTGCATTTGCTTTTTCCTGGCAAAAAACCCCCTCAGACTTCAGTCTCAGTACTCTGTTTTTCCAATGAAGGAACATTACCTTCCCTCCCGACTGTACTATCCATAAAACATCATTCCTCTCCAGCAGGTGTGGATTACTCCACAGATTTTTAATATTCCTGGCTATGCCAGAGTACAGCAGAGCTCTAAGCTTTAAATCTTTAGGAGACACCTTCCTCAATAATGAAAATTATATATTTTTCACTAATAGAAACTGCCAGTATAATGGACTTTATCCAATAGACAACATTCGTATCAAACAGAGATAATTCTGTTTTGGATTAACCAAACTCTGTGAATCTGTTTGTGTCTCAAACAATGACTCGAAGCTGCTGCCCATTGTTGTTTCACACATTCCTGGCCCGCAGATTCCCGATTTTCCCCCGTTTCCTGGCACAGGACCCGAATCTCTCTGTGTCCTGTTGCTGCAGAGTCAGCAGAGGGAGCACAACGTAACTAAAAAAAAAAAAAAAAAAACTACTAAAAAAAAAAAAAAAAAAAAAAAAAAAAAAAAAAAAAAAAAAGGACGGAAAAAGAGCCTCGGTGGCTGATGCCCCCAATTCTGTGTTTGACAAAATCAGTGCTCTGCCAACTGCAGCAGGAAAAACAAAGTCATGGCAAAAATAAAACCTATACAGCCTTGCTTAAAAAAAAATCAATTACAGAATTTTTATTGTTTAAAAGGAGAGATATAAAGGTGGTTTTGTTTTCTTTTTTTTCTTTTGATCCATGTACACACTCAAAATATTTTTAGAATTCAGGGCAGAAAATGTTCCAATGATATGATGATGAACCAAAACACTGAACAGCAATATTGGTAGGATTAAAATAGTTATCCAAAGCAATAATTTCTCAAACAAATTACACATTAGGAACTACTATGGATGTGGGAAAAGGGTTCAGGCTACTGAGAGAACAAATATTAGATTTTTGATTGAAAATTCAAAAGGTTTTTGAAGCCACAGTGCTGCCCCCAGCACCCAGCCCAGAGCCAGGCACACTCCTGGGGGCACCACAGCCTCACCAGACCCGGGAATTTCCTTTTCAAGCAAGAATTTATCAAAAACACTTACATGAATGAAAAGTGACCTCACTACAGGACAGAAGAAGGAAATTTTTATAGGTTTCATTCAATTAAAGAGCTATAAACCAAAGCTCCCCATGCCTTAATTTAGCTGTGAAAACAAAGAAAATACCCAGTGTCTCCAGCAAAAGTTGAGTGTCAAAATAGCTCCATAATAAAAAGTAACTTAGGGAAAAAATGAGTTCAGAAATGACTGACAAGGGCAATTTTTAACATGGATGACTTTAAAAGCACTGCAGACTCAAGCACAAGACAAGAGATGACTTTTTCTCTTCTGTCCCCAGGTCCAGCTCTGAAGCCTCTAAAAATCGCCCCAAAAATTAACACATCCACCTGAAATTCCCAGAAAGACACCACAAAGAGAACAGCCTTTGGAGAGAACATTATTTTGGAATTATTTTGGAATAAACACTCTGTGTTTATAATAAATAAAACAAGTGGAAGGTTCTGGACCACACCTCAAGGGTTAATCACGGAGTAGGAGGGGCAGGAGCTGAGGAAAGGATCCTCTCCCACCCACTGTCCCAACCTGCAGAACCAGCACAGGGCCCAAATTCTGAGAGCAGGAGCAAAAGCTGAGTGGAATGTCAGAGGTGTGCCAGGAAA